GGGGAAGTTTCATCGGCTTAAGAGCATCTACAAAAAATCAATAGCTAATACTATACTTAATAGTAAAAGAATGAATGTTTTCCGTCACTATCAAGAAAAGGATGTATACTCTCACTACTCATATTTCAACATAATGCCAGAAGTTTTAGTCAATGCAATAAGAAAAAGAAATAAAAGTTATACATGTGAAGAAGGAAGAAATAACACTGTCTTTATCTGAACATAACATGATGATCTATATTGAAAATCTCAAGGAACTGAAAAAAAAAAAAAACTACAAGAACTAATAGTGAGTCCAGTAAGGTCACAGGATACAAGGTAAACATATACAAATCAATTGTACTTCTATATACTGGCAAAGAACATATAGACATCTAATTAAATACACAATAACATTTACAATTGATCAGAAAAATGAAATAGGTGCAATCTAAGAATACATGTACAGCATTGATATGCTAAAAACTACCCAACAATAATAAAAGAAATTAAAGAAGATTTAAATAAATGGAGAAATATATCATGTTCATAGATCAGAAAAGTGAACATAGTTGTCAATTCTCTCTGAAATTGATATATGGTTAATATTATTCCTTTCAAAAGTCCAGTAACATTTTTATAGATATGGACAAAAGAATTGTAGGATTTATGTGGAAAAACATTGGCACTAGCACAGCTAAAATAACTTTGAAAAATAAGAACAAAATGAAGGAACCAGTCTATCTGATTTCAAGACTTATGGCCACAGTAGTCAATCCTGTTGTATTTGTGTAGTGCTAGACACACAGATCATTAAAACAGAACCTAGAAACAGACCTAAACAAATATTTCCAGCTGATATTTAATGAAGTTACAAAAACAATTCAAAACAGGAAAAATAGCCTTTCCAATCAATGGTGTCAGACAATTGGGCATCCATAGACAGCAAGACAAGTAGTCAAGGAGGTGGAGAAGGAGGAGGAGGAAAGGGAAGAGGAAGAGATCAACTTAGACTTAGGTCTGATATCTTATATAAAAATTAAATAAAATTGGATCACAGTCTTCACTGCAAAACATAAAACTATAATATGTTTAGGAAAAAAAATTAGGAGCAAATTTTCAGGATCTAGTTCTGGGCAAATAATTATTAGACTTGAGAACAAAAGCATATAAAACAAAATTGCTAAACTGAACATCAAAATTACACATTTTTGCTTCACATAAGACTGTTAATAGACTGAAAAGACAAGCTACAGACTGGAAAAATTAATTGAACATCATATATCTCACAAGGGTCTAGTATTCAAAAGATACATTAACTTAAAAAAGCCCTGAAAACTCAGCAACAAAAAATCTTGTTAGAAAATGGGCAAAAGGCATGAAAAGACATTTTATTGAGGAGGATATATAACATGTGCAATTAAGCTCATGAAAAAATGTTCAATATCAATAACCATTAGAGAAATACAAGTAAAAACCACAATGAGCCACTACTGTACACCTATCAGAATGGCTTAAATAAAAAATAGTGACAATACCAAATGCTGGCAAGAATACAGAGAAGCTGCTGGGGATTTAAACTGCTATGGCTGCTCTAAAAAACATTTTGGCAGTTTCGTTAAAAATTAAACACGCAGTTACCATGTGGCCTAGAGGCTGTACTCCTGGGCACATTTTTCCTCCCAGAGAAACAAAGAGTTATGTTTACACCAAAGTCCTGTACCCAAATTTTTATAGTGGCTTTATTCATAATAGCCCAAACCTGTAAAAAAACTCAGATACCCTTCAACAGGTGAATGATTAAACAAACTCCAGTACATCTATACCATAGAATATACTCAGCAATAAAAAATAAACAAGCATATTTTCCTTGCAGAAAAATATGGATGAATCTCCAGAGAATTAACGCTGAGTGAAAAAATCCAGTCAGAAAAAGTTACATATTGCATGATTCCATTTTTATAACATTCTTGAAATGACAAAATTATAGAAATAGAGAACAGATTAGTCTTTGCCGGTGGTTAAGGAGGAGAGGGGGGCAGGTAGGAAAAGGCTGTGGCTATAACCAGGAATGTAAGAGATCCCCACAGTGATGGAAATGTTCTATTTCTTGACTCTGTCAATGTCAACAGCTTGGTGGTAAAATGTGCTCTAGTGCTGTAAAATATTAACATTGTGGGACACTGGGAAATAAATACATGGGGTATCTCTTTACTCTGTATTACTTCTTCTTCCTTTTTTTTTTTTTTTTTTTTTCAGTAGAGATGGTTGAGGTGGAGGGTCCCAGGCTGATCTGGAACTCCTAGCTTCAAAAGATCCTCCCACCTCAGCCTCCCAAAATGCTGAGCCACCATGCCTGGCCTATGTCTTACCATTGCATGTGAATTTACAATTTTCTTAAAACAAAAAGTTGAATTAAAAGCTGATACTCAGAAGCCATCCAAAACAAAATAAATATAGATTATTAGCATATATATGTATACATACACATGTGGAGTTGTATTTATATGCTATTTGATATTTTCTACCAGAAGTTTAGAAACTGAGAAATTGATCATGGAGATTAAATAATTTATATTAATTTTTTTTAAAGACCTGGAACAGGGATGGCAAACAGATTAAATCTGATACATTCTTAGATGGAAAAGCATGCTATCAGGGAAGAGGAATGTCTCTTAAGGGCCCTGGATTGGGGGATGTTGTGGCATGTGTACCACATAATTGCCATTCCTGCCTTGAAATTTTAACCTAAAAGTCTGTCAGTAGGATCTCTGATAGCTTGGGAATTCCTGAGACTAGAAGTTTCAAAAACAGCACCTGTTATAGTTTCACTCAAACGTGAGCATTCAAAAACTGCTAAATCCCCTGGGCTGTCACTCTGGCTGTACCATGCAAAATGGCTGGGCTACAAAGTTGGCTGTTTAGCTGATGTTCCACAATGATCATTTGCTGGCCCACAAACACATTATGCAGTTCATTGCACAGGAAAATGTCTTCTTTGTTTGAGTTACAGGGATTAAAAGCATTACAGCTTAATCCCTTTGATGCATCCAGGCCATTTTAAAATTGAATGTTTTCTTATTAACTCTCCTACTGGGAACCAATTCACTGACACTGTAACCACAGAGCCAGGCAACCCTGATTAATTACAAAATTTTTGCCCTTCTGCCTCTATGAGTCTCTCTAAAATATCTAATAACAAAAGCACTTAAATAAATCTACGGAGTTAATCAATGTTTCATGTAATTTGGAATAAGAAACCTCAAAGCCTTTCAAATAAATAGTGAGAGAAAGATGAGAACTAGCATATTAAAGAAACCCATGTTTAAGAATTCATATGTATTAAAGCCTCAAGCTATGTTAATCTTCAAACTAACCAAAAAACTAATTCATGTTAGAAAATCAGCACACACTTCATTTGTTACAATTCTTTAAATGGCGAACATGAGTTTATAAATTAAATTATACATTCAATTCAGAGGCTTTAATGCTGCTGTCAGATTTATAGCCTCCAATTCACAGAGATCAAGGCATAATAAACTATCAGGGAGAAAGGCTGTCTCCTCATCAGATCTGCTTTACATAGATGGGTTAGACTGAATATTCTCCATATGGTAACCACAGGGATGAATGAGGGCTTCTACTTTTGTTAGCGGTGCATGTGGAGAAAACTAGATCAGAAATACCTGTCTGATGTTGAAAAATGAATATTATACTTCACTTTATGTGCTACAGAAAATGGAAGAGATCAGTGCAGGAGAAGATTTAAGCATCTCAGTTGCAGACTAGCACATATTGAGAAATTAATCTGCCCACTGAATAATGCAAGAAAAAGTTGTGACCTCAGAAGAATTAGCATCACAGGAAGATCAAAGGGTGAAATGTATTTCTATCCCAAAAAAAACAAAATGTGTACAAACTTAAATTTTACAACCTACTTTAAGATATTATTTCTCGTCAGCAACCTTGTAATAATTTAGCATAAAATTTATTTCATACATCAACGAGGATCAGTTTCACTCATGAATTTTTTTTATATTAACTGATTTTCTTACACTCTAAGATAGTATTTATTTCCTGAGGCGTAATATATGGACTTATTCCAAAGAAGAACAGCAATGCTGAGGAAATGTTCATAGTTGCTTAAGGACAAGGCACTATGCTAAATAATGTGGAATTATTATATGGTGCCCCCCCCCCACACACACACACAGAATCCCTGGAAATTAACTTAGGCAGGCAAGAATTGGTTTCACATTCATGTGTGCAACGAGACAAGCCTTTTTGAAATTTGAACGATAAAATTCCTTTCGAAGATGCACTTGTCAGCCTAATAATGAAATCATCTGTATGTTTTCCTACCAATTTTCCTGAATATTGAACTTTTTTATCAAGGCCATGTGAGCACTGAAGTGTTATCAAGCTCATTTCTTTTACTTAGGAAAGTCTATTCATCTGGGATATTATACACTATTCACATTTTATGCATTTTTATTTTTTAATAAATATTTTCTTCTTCTTTTCTATATATGCTGTTTGCATTTTTGTAATTTGAAGCTAATCACTGCACCACTACTGTGGGCTCCTATGTCTGCATAAGGCATCGCGTAGGAGGCTGGAAGAGATACACAATTGTGAGTCCTGGTTTCGGCCTTCAAGGTGGCTTGCATTCTAGTTAAAGAAATAGATCCACACACCAGACACAAAAACGGAGCGTGACAGGGCCCTTGCTGCTCAAAAGGTGTTTCTCAGACCGCATGCTCACTTTGAGTTTGTGAGAAGTACAGTCTAAGCCCCACCCCAGTCCTATTGAGTTAGAAGCTGCATGTTAACAAAATCCCCAGAGGGTTCATATTCCCAGTACAATATGAGGACTGAGCCACCGGGTTGATGTTGAAAGGGAACTAAGTATGGAAATAAGAAGCATCAAAGTTCCACACAGTAGCACTGGCAGAACAATTTGGAGGACATGGTTCACAGTCATTTCCTAGGTGTAGTTATATCTAGATTTTGAACCTTACCTGGTCTGAGGATAGTTGAGCAAGGTATATGGATGGGGACCCACTACAATAAATAATTTAAAGGCTCGGAGAAATCTCTGAAATCATTTCTGTTTGTATTTTTGTACATCAGATATGTTTAATATAATACAGAATTCTCCTGCCTTCATTAACTTGTAAGTAAAAATAAGGTCAGATTTGCTTTAATATTCAACTTACACAGACTTCTAGTTCCCATATGATCAGAGTAGCAATAAATGCAGTTATTCACCAATCTAACGTCTAACACCTTCTTTAAAACTTTTTTATTGTGGTAAAATACAGATTTTACCTATACTAAATGGCATTAAGTATATACATACTGTTTCCAACCATCACCACTGTCTATTTCAAGAACTTCATCATCACAAACAGAATCTCTATTACCCATTAAACAATAATTCCCTGTTCCCTTCTGGCCCCAGCTTCAGGTAACCACCACTCTACTTTCTGTCCCTATGAATTTGACTACTCTAGGTATCTTATGTAAGTGGAATAATACAGTATTTGTTCTTTTGTGATAGCTCATTTAGCATACTGTCCTTTTGGTTGTTCATGCTCTAGCATAAATCAGAATTTTATTTCTTTTTAAGGCTGAATAATATTCCATTGTATGTACATATGACATTTTTAAAAACATTTATTTTAGGTTTATTTAGGTTCAGGGTATTAACTTTGCGTGAAGGTTTGTTACATAGGTAAACTCACATCCCAAAGGTTTGTTGTGCAAATTATTTCATTTACCAGGTATTAAGCCCAGTAGCACATATTTATCTTTTCTGCTCCTCTCCTTCCTCACACCCTCTACCCTAAAGCAAACCCCAGTGTCTGTTGTTCCCTTCTTTGTGTTCCTTAGCTCTCTTCATTTACCACATTTTTTTTATCCATTAATCTGCTGATGGACATTTGGGCTGTCTCTCGCTTTTGGCTATTATGAATAGTGCTGCTGTAAAACCTTACCTTTTCGTGTGACTGAGTGTAAAGCTGTTGAGAGCTACCTACGCCTTGTTCGGAAGCTGAGCAATCTTGGCACCTTTCACAGAAGCTATCATCGTGTGCATGATGAAGCTGTTGGGGGCAATATGTCCTATTTCACTTCATTTTTGCTGAAGTGCAGTTTGACTGCCAAAACCAAGACACTCTAATCTAAGTTCTACTCACTAGTGTGTTGAAACCTTATTAACACACAGAATTCCTGTGAGAAGGAGGACATACCCTCCCCTAGCAGTAAACTTACACTCAAAATTGGCCCAGCTGCCAAGTGTGCAGTGCTGAGTGTTAGCCATTGCCTGTCACTCAGAAGCAGCCACTTCCTCCAAAGCATGCGGTGGCCCCTAGAGGTGAGTTAGAGGAGATCCCAGTACCGTCCTGAACACCCCAGAGCCAGTCCCCACTCCCACAGTCCATGTCCTGGGTGCAATCTACAAAGCCAGTATGGATCCATTTCCCTCCAGCTTCCCTGGACTATCGCTTGGTGACTAATTTCAGAGGAGCTCATTAGTCTTTTCTTGCCATCTCTCCTCAATAGAGGTGACTGTCAGTCCCTTGGATGTGTTTTTAAAACTGAATCACAAAGTGGAAGAATGGAACCTGTAGGGTTTCCACCCCACAAGCTACCGTGTAGCAAGTTATTTTCCAGAATATGTATCTTGTCATCTCCAATCTCTTTAGAGCACTGAGTTTCACAGAGGGGGATGGGGACTCTATCCATCTACAGGCTCTATCCATCTACAGAGCCGGATCCAGGCCCGGCTCAATTAAGTCCCATTATATGCTCTCCCAGAACTGGAGTATTAGCTTTGCATGCAATACATAGCTAAAAGATGTCATTCAAGTGGTTCTTCTCAGACTGAAGGAACCCACCCAAAAGAAAATGAACAGCTAGCTCATCTTTGAGGCACCAGAAAGTAGAGCTTATATTAAATGATCTTCCATCCTATAAGAATATTTAAATTCAATTTCTTCTAAGTATTCTGGTATACATATGTGCACTTACATTTGAGTATTCTGTTGTACATGTGTGCACTTACGGCCCTGGTGGGAAAGGACAAGTAGAACTCTAATTAAATCAAAGTGTAGCCTCTGAAGGAAAAACTCATCTGGGGGAAAGGAGAATCAGGCAAATGAACTTGACCAGCTAAACTTCAGGTATCTGAGGATCACTCAGTTCTGAGTGCTGTGTGGTGTCTATCTCTCGGGTCTGACATCACACACAAACAGCTAGGTGCAAGGGAGCAGAAGTGTTTTGAGAAAACCTAGAAGGACTCTCTTCCCTCTGTAAAGCACTGGAGCTTAGGAAATGCTCTGGTGATGCCTATGCCAGCCAGTGACACAAAAGTGGTTGTGGGAGGTTGCGACTACTCCATTTCTGTGAGGAAGATAGTACAGTTTTGGTATCTGAATGAGTTGAGCACATTTATGGCCAAACATACAGGCCGCAGTATCCAGAGGAAATATGGGGGCAGAGGTAATGTGCCTGGCAGGGAAGTGGCACTAGTGTATCCTGGAGTGGTTTCAGCATCTGCATGGGCATTGATGTCCCAAAGAGATGCTGATGTCAGCTGACAGTCATTGCATTTAGAAAAGGAAGCTTATGGAGCTAACAGGAGGAGGCTATTTCATGCAGCTTTGTTGGACATGACCTTTGTTTAAGGGCCTTGGGACAGGAAAGTAGAAGGTGACATATGCTATGATGTGTCATATAGGATCTGTGTCTAAGCACTTGTGAGACACTCTAAGGGACTTCTAGGAAAACCTAAAGGGAGACCCTCAATGGGAGTGAGGTGAAATTCTTTTTTTTTTTTTTTTGCATTGAAAGTTTTATTCAACAACATTTTTTCACTACTGTCAACTAAGTAGACTTAAGGAGAATACAAGCATATATTTAAATCATTTAAAATCAGAGCAGAAGGCAAGCTTAAACTCTTAGACGTAATATTTAGCTTACACCTTCAGAAATAGCAAATAAAGGAAAAACCTTGCTCCACAACTGATCTTAAAATAATAATTTTATTTTAAGGCCGGGCGCGGTGGCTCACGCCTATAATCCCAGCACTTTGGGAGGCCGAGGCGGGTGGATCACAAGGTCAAGAGATCGAGACTGTCCTGGTCAACATGGTGAAAATCCGTCTCTACTAAAAATACAAAAATTAGCTGGGCATGGTGGCACACGCCTGTAGTCCCCACTACTCGGGAGGCTGAGGCAGGAGAATTGCTTGAACCCAGGAGGCAGAGCTTGTGGTGAGCCAAGATCGTGCCATTGCACTCCAGCCTGGGTAACAAGGGCAAAACTCCATCTCAAAATAAATAAATAAATAAATAAATAATTTTAAAAAATAAAATAATAATTTAGCATTACAAAGTACAGTATAGGGACACAAGAAAAAATCTGGCATCTGGCAATGCTGAGAAATCATTGCTTATTAACATTTATAAATGAAAATGTGAGGTGAAATTCTAACTCACACTATCCAAAGGCTCCATTCCTTTTACCATGGATTTTCATGGACTCGGAACACACACAGTCTCTTAAAATAATACACATATATGCAAATTTGAGAATGTTTCTTTAGGATGAGCAAATGGTTAGGTTTTTACTTCTTACCTCATTTCCTAAATAGGATTTGTTTTTAACTCTGCCGTTTGTGAAGTTTTTAAGTGTGAGGAACATTTAACCATTCACTGCTTTGAAACCTTTACTATATCTCCTTATGATATATAGTATGGGGTCACAACTTCAAGGACGATAGGGTGGATGGACAGGTAAATATATGTGAATGTATGATATGCTGGTTACAAGGCAACAGAGAGTGGCTGGAGAGGGCGCTGGCCCTGTCTAAAGGCATGCTGCTTTACTGAAAACAAAACCAAAACCAAAACCCAAACCCTTGGCCACACAAAACATGTCCATGGGCCACGTTAAGCCAAGAGGCTACCTGGATTCTCATTCTAACATTGTTGTAACTCTCACCACATAGATAGTTGACTTCTACCTCAACATGGCTGGGATCAACCCTCTCTTTCATGGTTGACATGAATGAAAACCAACAGAAGCCTACCCTAGTATCACTCCCATTATCCCTGGAGCTGGCCAAAAGCAGGAACCCTACTGCTTCATCTTTGGATTCTGTGTACCAGTTCAGTTTATAAATAATCAGCATTGTAATCTCATGGAGAAGCCATGTCAGATAAAAGAAGATGATAATAACAAACAACTATTGAGAGCTCATTTCTTGCCAGGTCCTGTACTCAGGATTTTCCTTATCCCATTTCATTTACTCGCCCTAACCTATTGCATAAGAATGATCATTATCACAATTTCATGGATGAGAGAACTGAGACCAGAATCGCACAATGGGTGAAGCAGAAATTTGGTGACTTCAAAGTCCATGATTTTAACCAAAATGTATATACTTATGTAAAGCAAGTGTGAGTCAGGGGTTCAAGGATCATGCAACAGGCTAGAAGGAAAGGGATTGAATGTAGGTAATATTTAACAGGGAACTACTGTTTCCAACAACAGATCTGAGGAGCATAAGCAAGAGGAAGAGCAGTGGATCCAGGAGAGCTTGGACAGAGGCTCAGTGGTGGGAGACGGAGGTCCGTGGTTAGGGTTGAAGTGCAATCTGACAGGAGGGTGAGTGGAGACAGTGTCGAGGCTGAGCTGCTCCTCCCCTACAATTTCTCTCTCTCCATCCCATCTCTACCCTTTGTCTGTCCACTTACACAACTAAGAAGAGATCATTGAAACTTAGAAAACTCCTGTATTTCATGTATTTGAAGCATATGTGATTTCTCTCTACGTCTCTCACCCTCCTGTTGGGTGTCTGGCCTCTATTAAGTTAGGAAAACAGAAACATGTAAACTTGAGTGATGTGGAGAAAAGGACAGACTTTCCCCCCTCATACTGCACCACAGTTGTGCTCCAAGGACTGGGTTTGGTGTGTTCTGGATGTTTCTCTCTGAGAGAAGGGTCTGAAGAGATCCAAGACAATGAACTCCAGCCCCTAAAGAAGCCTTGAGAGACAGAGCAAAGTGCTTGCTGTTCTGTCCCATCTGGTCTCTGTACTCTGTTTAGGAGTGACTTCCGGTACTATTTGTGACAACAAACAGACTCTCCCCACACTTCCTGATGTCACCCTGTGATGGTCAATTTTTTTTCTTTTTTTTTTTTTTTTAAGATGGAGTCTTCTGCCACCAGGCTGGAATGCAGTGGCATGATCTCGGCTCACCGTAACCTCCACAATCTCCATTTCCCAGGTTCAAGCAATTCTCCTGCCTCAGCCTCCTGAGTAGCTGGCACTACAGGGATGCATCACCATGCCCAGCCAATTTTGTATTTTTAGTAGAGAGAGGATTTCACCATGTTGGCCAGGATGGTCTCAATCTCGTGATCCATCCACCTAAAACTCCCAAAGTACTGGGATTATATGCTTGAGCCATTGAGCCTGGACGTGATGGTTAATTTTATGTTAACTTGGCTAGACATTATATGCAGATATTTGTTCAAACATTATTCTAGATGTTTCTATGAAGATTTTTTTTAGATGACATTAACCTTTAAATCTTTTGACTTTGAGTAAAACTGATTACTCCTTATGATGTGGGTGGATCTCATCCAATCAGCTGAAAGCCTTAAAAGAAAAAGCCTGACCGCCTCAGAGGAAGAGGGAATTCTGCCAGGAGACTGCCTTTGGACTCAAATTACAGCTCTTCCCTGGGTCTCCAGCCTGCCAAACTACTCTGCAGATTTTGGATTTGCCAACCTCAGTGTCACATGGGCTACTTCCTTAAAATAAATCCTTCTTTCTATAGAAATGTTTTGTTGGAGAACTTTATTGAATCTACACCCTACTTCACCAATTCTAAGATGTATATTTTTTCACACTTCTCTAAAATCACAAGGTATTTTAAATTAACGTTGTTTCCAGTGAAGTATGATCATTCCCAGTATTTGACAGTATTCGCCATTCCCTCAACTAGATATGATTTTGGAAATGCATGCTAAGAGTTTGCTACATTGAGCTGACTGACTGTAGTGTAACCACCATCCATGATTTGTATAGCCATGTAGTGACTCTTCTCCAAGGATTACAAAGTTCTATGCAGTTGTAAATAATTATTTTCCATAACCCTGACATCTAATTGCCATCTGTAAGCTCTGAAAAATATATTTTTCCAGGGGATGCAAAATAAGAACCCAATAAGGGAGACAGAGCTTCAAAGCAACACTTTGAAAGTAAAGAATAGGAAAATGGAATGCAATGTATCTGTCCTCCATTAAGTCTCATTGTACTACTTAAGCCCCACTTTCCTTTCCACGCAAGTTTATAGCATTTTAACTACCAACTATACCTTCTTTATTCTGTTGAAAGTGGCAGTTTGTTTTTCTACCTGGTATATTTTCAAAAGAATTAGGTAATTGGCCAATACTATAACAATGTTTCGATATATCACTGTCCTGCACAAAACTAAGACTAAAAGGTAACAGTACATCTTAGATATGTGTGTATGTCAGCATCTTTGTACATAGCATGTACACAAAGTATCTGCCTGCCTTAGCCTCCCGAAGTGCTGGGATTACAGGCGTGAGCCACTGTGCCCAGCTGATTTTTGTTTTTTTTTTTTTTTTTGAGACAGGTCTTGTTCTGTAGCCCAGGCTCGAGTGCAGTGATGCAGCCACGGCTCATTGCATCTCAACCTCCCAGGCTCAAACAATACTCCCAATACTCAGCTTCTCAAGTAGCTGAGACTACAGGCATGTACTACCATGTCTGGCTAATTTTTAATTTTTTTGTAGAGACAGGATCTCACTATGCTGCCCAGGCTGGTCTCAAACTCCTGAGTTCAAGTGAGCCTCCTCCCTTTGCCTCCCAAAATAATAAGTGAGTATTTGTCTCCCTTTTATTTCTGTATATATTACATCCTCCCTTATATTCTAGGGGGAGAGAGAGAGAGAGAGAGAGAGAGAGAGAGAGAGAGAGTGTGTGTGTGTGTGTGTGTGATTGAGAAGTTGAGCAAATAAGAGACAGAGATTGTCTCTTCTGGATTGTGAATATTTTGAAGGTACCTTGGTCAAAATACCATAGGTTTAGTGCCACTGTTTTGAATACTACTTCTGCCACATATAGGCTATATGACTTTGGAATATTTAACTTTTCTCATCTTCAGTTTTTGTACTTGGAAAGTAAACATAATATCTGCATTGAAAAGTTTAGTGAGGCTTAAAAATAATTGCTGAAAGAAACAGGCACACAGCAATGGTAGCTCTCATCATCCTGCCTCCGTCTCCTGCTATAGCCCTAGGCACAGCACTTTGTACTTGGAAGGTACTGTCATGTTTGTTGAATGAATCACAAAGAAGTGTCTTGACAAAAAGCACACACTATTTTTGGCTTTCTATACAACATGCAATAAATTTTATGGCCTGACTCTTTTTGAGTACAAAGTAAAGAACCATTCATAATGTGTTCTCTTTTACCCCAAATGTTTAATATTTCAACCAGAGTCATCAGCTCCAATGTATTACTTATCTTCTAGCCTTACTGTCCTATGTAAATATGATCTTCATTTAGATGAAAACAACCATAAAACAAACAACACTGCAGATATTTCGGTTAACCATGGAACATACTTCAAGTTTATGGTATTAGTAGTTTGAATTTTCACAGAAGAAACCAAGATGCTCATTTCTAGTTTTTAAGAGATAAAGTCACAAAACAGACATTTTCATGTCGACATTATTTCCCCTTTAGTTTTTTTTCTTTCCTTTCTTTTTCCACTGTCTTCTCCCCCACACACCATCTGTTTGTTTGGAAGATCAATGAATGAATCATCCAACAGGCGAACAAACTCTGGATGACACATTACTTTATGCCACATCTGAAATGAATTGAAAGTTTAAAAGGCCACATAATAAAATCAATCGGTATGCGTGCCTTTCTTGCTGAAAGATAATCAGATGCCAGAAGGGCCCTTCATAACACACTGTCCCAGAGACTATCAATTCCAACATCCACACATAATTTCCCTCTATGAAGCATTGGCAGCCATTTTGTACTTACTGATTGTGCCTCTATAATTCTTCTTCAGATAAAGGATTCACCAGCCTGTAGTAGCACTTAGCCAGAGAATCACAACTAACAGCTAAAAGCAAGTATCAAAACCAAGTGAATGAGAGAGCGTCTTTTCCCACTGTTCTAGGTGGCAATGGAAAGAGGAAATTCTAAATAGACTGGAAGCGGCAAACAGACAGATGGAAGGAAAGTATGAAGAAAAGAGGGAAGAAAGAAAGTGTTGGTGGATGGATTTAGGGCCAGATTAGTTCAAAAGCCTGAAATTTCTGCTCTAACTTATAGAAACTGAGTGGAAGCTAGAATTCAAACAAGTGCTTCACTTATTCAGTGGAACTATTTAACCAACACTCTATGTCAGGAAATGTTCTAGATACTGTGAATCTGCTATTAAACAAAACAGAAATCTGTAAACTCCTTGAAATTATTTTCCAGTGGGGGAAGACAACAAAAAATCAATGTAATCAATCAATAAATTAATTATAAAGTATATTGAAAGAGAAAGAGAAGTGCTATAGAAACATTAAAAATCAGGATAAGGAGAATTGCAAATGCCAGAATGGAGGCTTCAGTTTAAATGCTGTGGACTTAGCATCAGGATTACTTAAATATCAATAATTCACCAGAAAATGTCAGAGTCACAAAACTAAAAGGAAACCATTATGTAACATAACATAGAGAGAGGAATTTCCTGACAGTATATAAAAGGACTACTAACATTTTTCATCTAATTTAAATAAAATATTTACTATGCATGTAAAACCAGAGAAGCTCTGAAAATATTTCAGAGATAGTTGCTTGTCCACATGCTTCTTTAATAAAACACCTTGCTGCTAAAAGAACACAGATATGTGGATTTCACTTATAGGCAAGGTCAAAGTCCTCTAAAAGCAGTTTCATCTCATCACTGTCCATGTGACTGATACTATTATCCCTGTTTTACAGGGGGGGACATTAGAATGATTATGACTAAGCAACGTGAGTCAGTGGTAGGGTTTATGGAAAACGCATGTCCTAGGCAGCATGCAAATGACTTCATCTTATGTGGGTTTGGCCATGTAAGATGTTAAATTATCTCAGCGATTTTGTGAACTTGGCTTTCTTCGTAATTATCCTTCTTCCTATCTGCTGTCCCAAAAGACCTGGTTACTGAAGAAAGCTCTGTGAGAGCTAAGGATGAGTGTAAGTGCCATGAAAACACCATAAAAGTATGCAGAAGGTGCCATGCCACAGGGTTCTTCTAATGAAGGAATTCAGGAAAAGCTTAAGTACTGCCACAGAGTTTAAGTTCCCAAGCATTTTTTTTTTCCTTCTCTTAGAAAAGTGCCTTTTTGGCTGGCATTTTATAGGAAAATGACAAAGGCTTTACAGTAAGTCTCTTATCTCCTTTCACTTTTTCAATCTTTAGAACATGGCTAATACTACGTACTTGTGGTTCGACTAGCAAACTCACTGATTACGCTTGGCAAGTGACAGCAACAGCAGCAACCCCACAAAACTTAGGCAATAATGATGGTTTCTTTAAATTGGAATTCAAGATAAAATTGGGAAATTCATCAAGAAGGGATAAAGCTCTTTATATTGTCTTATCACAGAATTTGAAATTTGTGTCCAAGACAATGAAATTAAATGTTTATTTTATACTACTTGATCATTCTGAAAGTTTTCCAGGTTACCGCAGACTGAACTTAAAGCAGGATATTGTCTTAATCAACCCTTAAATATTAATGTGGCTCTGCCAAACTAGCTTCCTTAAAATCTCTTTCATTTCTGTTACTCTACCATTTTCTCATGTAAGAGATAATGATAAATATGCAATGCTGTTAACCCATTTTGCTACTTGGATTACTAGATTCACACACAAACACATAGAGAGAGAACCTCACTATTCAGGGCAAATGCCACTTTTGTCCAAGGCTACTTAATTTATGTACCTATTACTCTTTTAGTGAACATTTTCTTTCCCTTGAAAAGTATCAGGATTGAAAACCCCAGGAATTCCAAAACAAACCACTCCTCCCTCTGTCATCCTTGTCCTGCTGCTTCTGATCTTGGCCCTCAAACCCAGTGTCCTTATCAGAGCAGATCAAGCTGACTTAGGTTGGGGTTATTTTGATGAGAGCTTGAGTGTGTGATCAGGTGTATGGATTTTTGCCCTCTCCCAGAAACAGGCCAAACATGTGGCTGCAGCCCTAAGGGGTAGCCTGGTCTGGTTTGAAAGAAAATAAATTGGCTTCATAATGGCCACTGTGACCTTTGGCAGTCTAATTTCTCAGCTGGTTTACAACTGGATGCCCTACATACAGCTATTCTCAATAACTACACAAGCCTACAAGAGAGAGAAACTTTTAACTGGTGAGAATGCTGGAGCTACATCTGTCCAGGAAACTGGTAACACGGTTACATCACTGGGCTCCAGAAGTTTTGAGAACTTCCATTTGGCTTGGGCAAACAATTCAAGGTGTGAATTCTGACTTATAAAGCTGTCTGTGTTTTGGATGCTGGTTACCTTAGAAATGGCTTTAAGGTTATAGCTAAAGAGTTCCCAGATTTACACTTCAAACACCCAAAAGCAACACCCTTCCATAAAAAGGCAAGATGGCTAGAATTAAGGGCTACTTCACTCTAACAGAAGTCTACTTTGTAAAAAATACAACTTTTCCTTTTTGGCTTCCTTTACTGAGTAGAAATATGAATGTAGAAAAAGTACCACTATGAAAACTTTACCATTCGCAGCTTAATGTCCTTGAGCGTTAAAACATTTACGGTCCAATCTTAAAAGATATAACAAATTCCAGTGTATATTTAAATAATGTTCCTGTTTATAACCCAATCTATACCACATATTTAGTTGCATGGAATCATATATTTAAACTATTATCCTCTCACTGGAAAGCACATATTCCCATGAGCAACAAGATTTTAATAAATTTGGTGTTATCATCTATAAATACCTTGTTTTAAAATGTGCCTTTCATTTATACTAGGTCTTTAAAAGAATTTGGCAGATTTTTTTCCTTAACCTCTTCATGAGATTTACTTAACCTGCATACACTTGTAACATTTTTACTATATCCTAATTATCCAACCATTGTTTTATTTGACAAAAAAAAAATCTGAACATGGTTTGAATAATCCAGACAGTGAAGAGCTGAATCTGTCTTAGGATTTAGAATAAACTTTCTCTGGAACTAGCAGCGTCAATGCTCAGTGCTCCTCCTTCTAATATTCTAGTGTTTTAGGATCATCTGAACATTCCTTTCACCTGCAGATTGTCTTTGTAATTTTTTTTTTCTCAGAGGAAAAGAACAGAAGCAGAATGGATTAAGAAGCTTACCCAAGGCCATTCAACAGATTACTGATGAAGGTAGGATTGGTGCATTATACCTCTTCGAAGAAAGCTTTTTCTTTTTGTGCTTTTCTCTACCAACTAAATTAACCTGTATCCTATCAGCAGGTGATGTCAATCTCAGAGGACAAACTGTTCTTGCTGTTCCTGTTAAAATATGCATATGGTGCACACATATGACCATACCATATAAACGAACAAGAAATCAGTAGAACGAGAGTCAATTCAATATTTAAGTGCAGAGAAAAGTCCATAACTGTTCAAAATTGGACAGTTACTGGCAGCCTCAAGTACTCTTGCACTGGTATCAAAAGTAGAGAATTGCTGTGCCAGGACACTGGGACAGTTCCTCATTCCCTCTCATACACTCACAATTATAGTCACCAGCATAAAAAGTCAAGACTGTGAGCAATGCCTAACCACCTAATTGCCCAAGTAACCGTCTTTTCTTTTACAGGCCTCATTGTCTTGAGCATGAAGGAAGTGGCAAACCAGCGGGAGTGTAATCTATTATCTGTTACCACTAACAGCAGGGATGGGTTGTGACACCAAGAGGGAAAAAAAGGCCAGAGAGACAGGCACAGGAGAGACTCATCCGAGTACGGCTGTACTAGACATTTCCTTCATCTTTCCTTCAAAAGACTCATGTGTAACTGTGGGTACACTTGGGAGGGGAGCCAGGAGGGGAGAAGAAAAAGAAAGCAATTTGATAGAAGAGCTCGAATAGGTTGGGCAAGGGGTGATTTTACATACAGGGTAGTTTACTGATCCTTGCTCTGGTCTACATGCCTGTGAATCAATTACACACACACACACGCACACACACACATGCTGTCTCTTTCATGAATTAATTATTCCTACACATTCTTGAATGAAGCCCATGCACAATGCGGCAGAACAGGTGATGAATCCACCTGCCAGGACCCTTGGATGGTGCCTGTGGTGGAAGTTAGGCAGCACTTATCAAAGGCACGGCTGTCTTGTTCTCACCAGAAAGCACGTGAATAAAAGCCAATGCAAAATGAGCTGCAATTGTAACACTGTTTTACTAAAGCTAATCTGGCTGCCGAGTATGGTCCAAACAGCTTTTTGTTTGCTTGTTTTAAGCCCTAGAGAGCTTGTGGCAGTTGGCTTTTATGACTGAGACATCAATTTTGAGAAAATCCTTTAATTGTTATGCCTTTTAAAACCTTAATGCCCTGACAGCACTCTAAAGGTTTCCTTGCCTTCCTCTGTCTGATACTCTGGAAAATGTCAGCTCCACAGTTCTTCCATGATCCACTGCAAAGCTAACTAGAAAGATCATAAAACAATATGGCCAGAAATGTTAAAGTAGCTCTTTCTTTTCTCATAAACTAGATTCTAGTGTAAACTTGTATGAAGTATAAGCTTAAACTTTAAAGCGTCATAATTTTAGAATGTGACCATAAAAAATATGGGAGTAATGACAGTGAACAAATTATGTTTTTATAAATGTTGGGTTCTGCAGAAAAAATTTTAAAAACATTCTATAATGACATGTTTTAAGAACCTAAATTACAAAAAAGAGAAAAGTATTAAATATGAAGCCTGGCTAAAATATTTTTCTATAAATTAGAAATTAAATATAGATAGATACTAAGTACCAAATTATTAGATATCAATTAGACCTAAGATGGTGTGACAAGTAAATCAATATATTCTTATTAGACACTAGAAGATCCATAGATGGAATTCAGGCAATTAGCATATCCTTCAAAATTGTATGAAAAATCATATATCTTTGTGAAGATGCGTTCCATTGGAGTCTGAGATGGGTTCACAATGTAAATAAGAAAGTTTCAAAACCACTGATACAAAAGACACGTCTTACACAACTCAAATTTTTTCAGTATTCAATAATGCTTTGTTCTTTTTGATAGTTTTTCTAATTTAAGGTTGTTATACTTACTCAACTAGTAAGGCATTATCTCAGACTTTTGTAATATTTGGTCTATGTAATCATTGCAAAATGCAAATTTCTTTTTATCATTTTTTTCTGTACAGAAAAAAGGAAAGAAGTACCTAATAGGATAAGGAGTATGTTATAAGTAATAACAATAAAATTAAAACGTTAGTAAATTTATTTAAAAATCAAAACAAAAATGTATATATACTGCCCTATTTTATTATCCATAAATCAAAAAGCAGTTTTATTCTGTTCATTATTTTTCAGAGAAAGGAAGAAAATTCCTCTTTCTTCATTTTAAATGTATTCATAGGCACTACGAGTTTCTTATAGAAGGTTATTTGGCAATATGCTTAATGATTTGGATACCGATTAGTTATCTTTAAAATGTACAGACTTTCTTTACTTAAACAAGCAATTTTTCATTTCAAGAGGAATCTCAGAAAAAATTGAACAGTGCCTCTACTTTACTGTCTGGAAGAGATGAGCAAAGGCCAGAATACTTTCATTTATCCAAAAGAATGTATTTTTCTTCTTCTCCAG